TATTATTATTATGTATATTAATCAGTTTTGTTCATTAAATGTTGACGAGTATACTCGTACATCACAATAGAACCTGTGACGTGCACATTAAGCGATCGAATAAGACCAAACTGTGGGATTTCCACACAAACATCCAACAATGGAAGTATTTGCGCAGGCACACCGTGTCCCTCTGCTCCCAAAATAATAACCGCCCGCTTTGGAAATTGATAAGATGCCATGGAAACACTACCAGCTGTTTGTTCAATCCCAATAAGTGTATAGCCATCCTGTCGAAGAGAACCCAAATATGTTAAGAGACTTCGTGGAGGCACCGCTTCCCATGGAAGCCACAACTCCGCACTGCGGGCAGCCGCAACGAAATGAGGATGTTCAAACACAGAAGCATCAGGGACAACAATCTTTTCTACTGTAAAGATTTCACCACAGCGAAAGAGTCCAGCAATGTTAACAGGGTTTTGTAGTAAAGAACCAATTACAATAACAGGTTGTCGCTCTGTCTGTAAGGAACGTGGGTGTAGTTCATTATATATTTGACTGTTCCACCACGGTGTTACTTTACGCTGAATGTTATCATCACCACTACCAGCAGCTCCAGCACTAGTATTATTATTATTATTATTATTATTATTATTATTATTATTATTATTATTAGTATTTTCTGCGTTGATACCATCTGAGAGAAGTAAGGCCATTGCCTCAGCAGTGTAATCAATACAATAAGTAGCATTACTCTCTGTATGGGGAATATAGGGAAAATCCTTAAATGGATCAAGTATATAATGGCAATTCATACGATCTGTGAGAAATTGAACGCGAAGCATCTCAAGAGGATTCTTTGCCCCAATAAGACAAGAAAGTTCACGGTCAATAAAACGCATGCGTTCAAACGCTACAGCTGGAATAGATTCCATGAGAATATTATTACTTTCCTTTCGTTGTATACAAAATAATTGACGTGGAGTAGATGCCTCTGATAAACTAAAGAATAGTTGTTCACTATGTTTAGCTCGAAATTTTGCATGTTCTGGTGCACGGTTAATATAATCAAAAACCATTTCTTCACTTGGAGAAAACGTTACACCTTTTTCTTTACAAACATTATAAATATGATAAAGCCCAATATGACATATAATGCGAAGAAGATGTTGATGAGATGTACTCTGTTGAAAAAGACGGTGAAGTAGTGTATCAAAAAGACCGTCTACATGTTCCACTTCTCCACGTAATTGTTGAAGTATCATATGAGCCATAATCAAGAGATAACTTCCACACACTTGTGGACGTAATGCATAGTTCATCATTGCAGAATCCATAATGGTATAAAGTGTAGGTTGACGTTCCATTATTTTTAATGTATATAACTCCATTAAACGTCTCACACTTCCTAAGTTTGTAATTGGTAAACACTTATATACAACCTTTTCAAGAATTTTACGTACATCATTCACATCCTCAATCATGGGTAATAAAGCACACAATAACTGCCATAGACGAATACGACAACGATGAGGTTTAGAGTTTGGTTTACAAGAATCCCCAATCAATGCGGTATGATGAAGATTCCAGTCCAGTAATTCCAGTGAAAGTGTCACTGCCCATTCACGTCTTAACGAACAACACCAGAGAATAACAGAAATAGCAAAGGCACGTCCTACAGATGCAATTCGCACAGTTGGTGGGTATTGAATCCGTAATGTTTCTGGCCATAATAACATCAATGGTTCTGTGATGGCCACTAAAGTCTCAGAGGCCTCTTCATCACGTCCACTATTATACAAAACGGCAACATGTAATAATAACTCTTTAAAGTGTATCCAATTCTTAATTGGATCCCGCATTACTTCTGCAGATACAGTTATAGCCGCTACATAAGCAGATCGGTCTGAATCGGTTTCATTCATTAATGTTTTCGAAATGTATGATTTCACTAATGCCTCATGTTCCTCTGTGCCATGGAGGAGAGCATTAAAGGCCAACACCGACACCCGCGCATTCTCTCTAGCCCCAACATCATCCAAGTGTTGAAACATGGCATTAATAATACTAACATAATCTAAATTACTCTTTACTGCATTACTATTAATATTAGTATTGGCAGCTACCCAAGCGAGAATGTCGTAAACACTTGTTAAAGTGGTTCCCCAACAGCGGTCAATTTGATCAAGGCCATATTCCTGTAGTGTGAATAATAACTCAGGAGACAACGATGGGTCCACTGTATGGCAAAGAACAAATATAACATTATAAATACTACCCTGATATTGTGCTAAAACAGTAGACCATGATAAATTTGTTAATGTACATGGAATATCATTTGAAGTTAGTCGTAACGCAGGAGAATGTGTGAGTTGATTAATCCAACGAGGAGGAAATGTAGCATCAAAGTAACAACGACAGTTAACTTTACTATTATTATTATTATTATCTACATCCTGTAGATTGGTTATACTCGTGTTTAATTCAATTAAACCACAAATCACACCTTGTAATAATCGAGATGCGTTACGTGCAACTACCATTGCAGCAAAATGTTGGGCCACCATATTAGTAGCATCTAAAGAACTAGAATTAACACATATATTAGCCGTAGATATTAAAAGGTGTACCAATTCATCCACACGTTGTTGTGATTGAAGTTTCTGTGAAGCTCCATACGGATCATGTGAAATTGCTATTTGTTCTGCAGAAACAACAGCCGCCACTAAAGCATCCCATTTGGCTGTATGTTGCAGTATCCATAAATCCTCCACTAAGGCATCGGAAGTTTGAATATTGATAATTGCCTGTGTGGCTTGTCGAAGAGAACTAAGGGCTAATGTGTATATAGCCTCACTCAAGTCAATTACGGTATCTAGAGAGTAATAATGTTTACATGCCACAGTTCCAACCGAGTGATGAAATTCCACAAAGGCTACAAGTGCTGCAAGAAGTGAATCCTGTGAAATGTACGGCCGTTTAGAAAAAGAAAGAAGTGTGGTTGCAATCTCCCGAGCTATACGAGTAAGGACTTCTTTATCTTCCGCCTCTCCCATATCCAGGGCTCCACAAAGAAAGAGGAGTTGTTTACCCTGTACCTCATCCACATCTGTAGAGCGAAGAAAAACTTGTACATCTGCAAGTAAACAATTTGAATGTAATAGTGATCGTAGAAAACTATATTCATTCTTTTCAGTTTTATTTATTCGTGAAAATCGGACTAACTGTTCATTAAGGAAAAATGGATCAATACAGGTCCCAATACTCCCAACATGTCCCAAGGAGTCTAGTGTAATGGCATTATTCCCAACAGAGTATCCAAGAGGTCCACACATACAAAGTAATTTCCAAAATTCAGAACATTTACGTACTTCTGTAGGATGAATACTTGCAAAATAGAGAAATGTATTAAATGTAATTGCACTTAATCTCACATCAAGCCAAAAAGACATATTATCATGTGCTGCATCTCGTAAAACGAGAAACAACTCTTGTAATACCTCTGTATTTGTTATCATCTCCCATGTCGCATTTCTACCTTCTGGATCTTTTTCTAATGCTAATCCCTCTGCAATTCCGTGTAGAATACGAAGAAGCATCGCAGCGCCGTGTCTACTCGGCCTTCCAGAAACACAATGTAACATTCGCTGAATGGCTTCTTTGCGTGATTTGGCAGAATGCAAAACATCACAAAACACACGTGCATAGAATTTCTCCAGTTGATCCGCAAGTGGACCTGCTGTTCCTGTCAGAGCCCGCACTTCAGGTCCTTCGAAACTTTTAGTGTCGAGAAAAGATGAAACAAGTGGTGTGTGGTCAAGTTCAGTACACAGTCGTGTATCAATAGCAGTTTCTAACATAATTGTAAACAAGAAATCACTGGAAAATAACTGAAGTACCGATGGGTCTAATGACCATATTCGTTGTAATCCCATCTTGCGAAGAGCCATATTTGGATGTAGAAGCAATTTTAAAAATAGAAATTCTATCCAGGCAGGGTGAAGTCCTCCAGAAAAAGAAATATTTTCTATTTTATCATTATTTTCCTCCTTCTCAAGCTCTTTCCATACTTCCAAATCACAAGACAATTGTTGAACGAGAGCATCTAATTTAGGAAGTGCTGGTTGAACAATGTGTAGACCATACTCATTCGTGGCATCAAGGACAAGAAAGAACAATCCCCATTGTATATGACTCACATTAGGGACCCACACAAAGTATGGATTAAAACAAACTACTTTTTCCCATCCTTCCTTACGTTCTTGTTCATGAGTTAAATCAACGATTCGTTTTACGAGATATTCTGCTCGTAATTGCATATTTGCACGGTGTCCAGCATTCTTTTCACACGTAATTGCTTCCCAAAATCCAGTTTTTAGTGATTCCCAGAGATATGAAGAACAACGGTAGTCTCTCTGTCTGTCACCATCAGTGTAACGAAACACATATTCAAAAAGTGCTGCAATAAGAACAATTACTTCAGCCTGTTTTGCTTTATCAGCAGAAAATGTTTGTAGAAGAGCTTGTATGCGAGAGTGATACCCGGTTAGTGAATCTTGTCCTCCAGAAAGCATCAAAGGTATTAAAACACGACGAGAGAGGAAAGATGTTAATAATTCATCCCCATGTACACGAAATAGAACATCAATCGCAAAAGAAATCAACATATCTTTTAACATCATCTCATTTTGAATATTATTTTTCATTTCCTCCTCCTCCTCCGCTTCTTCTTTTTTATAACCCTCTATCTGTTCTTGATCCTTCTGATTATCACGAACACTCACAAGTGCATCTGCACAGTAACCCAACAACTCCATCGCCGTTTCAACAGGGAACTCCGTCCTCGCATCACCGCCCTGCAGAGAAGCACCGGCCATTTTCACTAAAACCACCGAAAGACCTTTCATGGCGACTTCCGCAACACAAAAACAAACGGAGGAAACCATCGTCTTTAAAAACGGGGTATGTGCTGTCAGTATGTAATGCATGGCAGATTCCCATCGCCTCACATCCTCCCCATCCGCTTTAACAACATTACCACCACACACAAGCGAACACAAAGAAACAACATGGTAAACCGTACATTCCTCTTTATTACGCTCAAGGAAGGAAAGAAGTCGCATAAATTGAGAATGCTGCTCCGCAACAGAAAGTGCTTTCGTTAAATCCAATGCAATACCATAGACATTAGAAGGAATGAGGCTATCACTGGTTCTGTTACACCGGCTATGCAGAGCCGAAACAATATCTTCCAGATTTGCCTGCATCACTGGGCCACACACGAGGTTTCCTTTTCTTTTTTTTTTTTTAAACTTCAGCGGCAACTAAAACATACATTTTATTTGCAAATAAAAATAAAAAAAAAGAATATTTATAAGAAATTCGAAAAAGAAGAACTTTATTTTTAAGAAAAAATAAAAAAAGAAATATCAACCAAAATGATTTCGTAATGACTATCGTCTTTTTATTTCCAAAAGAAATACACCAAAAGAAACACAGCACACCAAAACAAATGAGTAGTATCAAACAACGACCCCACAAAAAAAGGTGAAAAAAA